AATTGTCTTACCCGGTAAGAGCGAAAGCAAGGGTCAGGAGTCTTACCCTGTAAGTGATGGCGACGACTCTTACCACGGTTAGTGTTTTTCGGATAAATTGTTACATACAATGTTGTTTTAGTGGACTCAAATCTTGCCCGGTAACTCGGTAAGTAAGCGATAGTGTTAAATTTTATCGGTAAACGCTTACCGGATAAGTGTTTAGGTAAACGACCCCTTAAATACTATTTAACTGGTCTATTTTATTGTTGCATAACAAAGATATGTGTCGGCATAAACAACCAAGAAAAGTGTAAATCACATATGAATTTGAAAGTGAATAAATTTGAAATACTAAAAACCAAATATGAATAAAATCGCATTTAAAGGTGTAATTACGCAAGTATATGTAACATATGTAATTGTTTTCGGAACAGTGTTAAATAATAACAAAAACCAAGAACTCGTTAGGTTATACAACATGGAAAAATTATATGAAAAAAGTAATGTGTTTTAACTTAATTCCTATTTTAGGTAACGTACTTTTAAAACTTTCATTTTAGTACCTAAGATGTAAATTTTTAAATATTTAAGTACCGGGATAACCGGTTGAAGCATTAACCTGTTCTTTAGCCTCACTTGATTGTGTACGAAGAAAATACGAGTCCAAAGGAAAGGTGAAAATAAGAAAGGTGGTTAGGCCATGAATCTCGAAAAAAATACAGAAATAGCCGGAGAAAGTCAGGTGTTGTAGGTGCTCTATTCGGCGATGTTTTTATTCCTGGGTTGCAGTAAGTAGATCGTCCAATGTTTCCAAATTAGTCCAACTTCGTACCTTTTCGGTATAAGCCATATATCTCAGAGAGGTCGTTAAATGCTCCGCCATGAAGCAAGCTCTCTGAAACAGTTGAAGGGAGGGTTTGGTGAGTGAAGTGGTATCCAACTCAGCATTATTTGTTGTTCGACCAATTTCATCTCATCACTCGCCACATCATGGTAACTGGTTAATGCTTCAACCGGTTATCCAGGTACTTAAATGTTTAAAACTTTACATCTTAAATATCAAAATGAAAGTTTTGAAAATACGTTACCCAAAATAAAAATCAATTTAAAATACGTTATTTTTTCATGTAATTTGCTCTTTAACAATACATATCGACAAACACGTATATCGACAATGATAGTGTCTTCTATTACAATTGAAAGAATGTGAGTTTGACGATACTGAATTGTGATCATCAAGTAAATAAAAGAAATAAAATGATTTTTTGTAATCATTAATGATAGAATATGTTTTTATTAACCTATATATCCAACTCGTTATGCGAGCCGACTAATTGCAGGACGACCATTTGTTTTGTGAGTAGGTCGGAGTCACCGCATTTGAACCTTCGTGGCCACAAGGGGGTTTTTATTCCTCTTTCTATTTTAACTTGAGACCTCCAGACATTTTTGACCTTTGGAGCTCAAACTCAAACAATCAAGCACCACTCTTATGGTAGATAGAATGTTTGATCATAGTAAAGACAAATTCCTTAAGGGGGCGTTTGGTTCGCAGATTCTGAAGGAATCTGATGGAATTGGAATGTTGAACTTCATTAACCAAAATTCATTCTCTCGTTTGGTTCATTCTTTTTAACGAAAGAAATCTTCAAAATCCTACAAATTCCACAATAAAGGTATTTACAATTTCTTAGCAATTACATGGTATTTTGATAGAATGGAATTCTCTATTTTTATAATACCAAATATGCCCTTAACCCAATATACCATGTTCTCATAAAACCCAATATGACCATCGTCGACCACGTTCGACCACCCGTCGATCTGAATCACCGTCGACCACCACCATCTAAACCACCGCCGACTACCACCGTCCACCACCGCTAATCTGAACTACCGCCGACCACTACTGATCTGAACCACCGTCGATCTAGAACCACTGTCGATTTGAACCACCACCGTCAATTTGAACCACCACCAATCACCGCCATCTAAACCACCATGGACCACCACCGATCTGAATATTGTCGATCATCGCCATTTGAACCACAACTGACCACCATCGATCTGAACCACCGCCAACTACTACCGATCTGAATCACTACCGGTCACCGTAGATCTGAACCACCGCCGACCATCACCAATATGATCCATCGTTGATCTGAATCACCCTCGATCTGAACCACCCCCGATCTGAACCATTGTCGATTTGAACCACCGCCGATCTGAACCACATCCGACCACCGCCACCTGAAGCACCACAGACCACCATCGATCTGAACCACTAGCACTACCACCGATCTGAATTATCGTTGGACACCACCGACCACCAATGATTTGAACAACCACTGATCTAAACCACCGTCGCCACCGCCGATCTAAACCATTGTCCATCTGAACCACCAGGGACTACCATCGATCTGAACCACTGCCGACCACCGTTAATTGAACCACTGTGGACCACCATAGATCTGAACCACTGTGGACCACCACCGATCTGAACCACCATCGACCACTGTTGATTTATTAATGTCGTTTGGCTTATGGTTATATTTGGGTTTTGTGTATTATATTGTTCTACATATTAAATAATTATTTTATTAAAGTACTTTTAGTTTTAAAAAAATTAAAATTTTCAAAAAAGGACATTTTGGTCATTTACCAATATTTTATTATAATTGCAAAGCTACATTCTGTAAACTAAACAGACAAATTTCAATTACTTAACAAATTTCATTTCAATGTCTGTCAAACGTAACAACATTCTATTCCAATTCCTTCAAAGTTAAATTCCTTTAACAAATTTCATTTTATCCAAAAACATTTTGTGAACCAAACGCTACCATAAAAGATTGAAGTAACTTATCGTCTAAAAAACATGTTTTTGTTATGGGTCACAACACAAGTCACAATGTTATCATCAATATCTTGTTTTGATCCATGAATTTTAAAAGTTTGTCTGGCTGTACTTCTTGTCGTGCGTGCCTCCAATAATCTCCGTAACTTACAAAAATTAATTGTTGGTGTAAGGGACTGTTTACCCAAATGTTTACCCGGTAAATATTTTCTAGTATGAGTCAACACTATAATTCATTTTGATGCGTAAGATTTTAGTACATCAAAACGTGTCGAATGCAACAATTTACAGGGTAAGCGCCTACCTAGGTAAGAGTCGTCGTCTTCACTTACTGGGTAAAACTCTTCATCTTTCTCATCACTCTTACCCGGTAAGATTTTTGGCACTTGTCATGTTCATCCGACGAGGAAATTTATCCGGTAAACACTTACCAAGTAAGCGTTTAGTAAACAGCCCTTAAGTAATTAGAATCCTGTATCTCCAGAGAAACCATACAGGGGATGTATAATGAGTCAGAAAAGTCTCCTTTTTTGTTTTTCTTTATTTACATGTTCCTTTAGCTCATCGAATAGCATGGATTCCGTTCATTCTTTCCAAAACTGCACCATCAGTTAAAACCCGAGCAAAAACCTACAAAGAAACAAGCAAATCCATATCCCAATCGACATGTAACGAATACTTCTTGCATTTTGTAAACAAGAAGCGAGAAGAAATCAAAACCGAATTAAATTTGGTATGCCATAACTAAGATAAACTTGATATGTCGAGTTCATAAATATCAATCTCGTTTCTTTCTATCGATGGAGACGTCCGTGGATATAGAGAATCGCCGATATTTTTCACGACAAGCAACGTCATTGGCATCGCAAATCCATTGTGAACGGCACCTAAATTATTTTCCATCCCTGTAGTTTAAAAATTACAGTTTTCATTCCTCTGGTTTGTAATTTATTGTTATTTTCTTCGGTCCATGTGGTTTACAATTCTTTACCATTTTGGTCTCTTGTACTTAAAGGTAAGAATTAATTTAGAAACGAGAATAGCAATAAATTACAAATCATAGGGACGAAAATCATAATTTACTCTTTAAATTACGATATCAAAATACAGAACGAATAAAGACCAACAAGAATCAATCACAACCACGTCCTAAACCAATTATCTCTACTTCGTTCCAGAAGTAGTTTAAATTGTAACTGAGAAGGACCGGTTGATGGTCCATTTTTTTACTTTTAATACCATGGACCGATGGGAGTATATATACGGCTAGAGATGAGAAAAAGACTAGGATTATGCGTTTGGTATGTTGGATATGACGGGATAAAACAAAAACTTGTTCTACGTTTGATGCAATATTAAACTAAAATGTTTTGTCCCACCAAAATAAGTGAAACAAAAAGCAAGGAGATTATACAAGATCAGTAAATTACCTACCCATGTCAAATAAAATCCTAAAAATCTAAAATCTTCCACAATTCTTTCACCTACCAAATAGACCCTTGGTACTTTTTTTTTTGAAGTATATAATATTGATATACGACAAATGCAACAAATAAACTCACACACCCTCATCACCTGTGATGAGGTTTGAACCCCTGACCTCCAAGGAGGCCAAAGGCTACGATACCGCTAGGCCAAATACCCTTTGGTAACAAACCCTTAGTACTTAACTGGTTGAAGGTACCCAAAAACCAATATGAAGTAGGGTATGGAGAGAATAAGATACGCTCTCCAACCCTAGGAGGGGAGGGATGGTTTTCGTGAAAACTCTAGCTTGCACAAAAATTAACGACCGCTAGCCTTTCACGGAAACAACCTCTCTTACCCTTGGCGTGAAAGTAAGGTTTGGATACATCTTAGCCCTAGACTCTCTTTTGTTTTTTTGGTTTGATGGAAATTAGAAAATAAGGGTCCGTTTACCCAATGTTTACCCGGTAAACGCTTTCCAGTAAGAGTCAAAACTTTCATTTAATTTACCGGGTAAGATTTTAGTCCATTAAGACAGCATCTTTTGCAACATTTTTATCCGGTAAGCGCTTATCAAGAGTCGTCACTCTCACTTACAGGGTAAGACGCTCGGTCCTTGTCATCGCTCTTACCAGGTAAGATTCTCAATTCTTGTCACGTTCATCTAATAAGGTAAAGTGACCCGGTAAGCACTTACTGAAGTCAACCATATGGAGACTCAAGCCGAGGAGGAACTTTACTAAAGTAACAATAGTCAGACCTATGTATTGTTGCCCTTTATTTCGGTTTTTTTCTATGTGTTAGTCAAAATCTATATTTCCAGATACGATATTTTGCTGTACACTCACCGATACAAAAGAATGCCCTTTAAACCTGTTCGTTTCGCCTGATGTGGTGCTTGCAGAGTGGGCAAGTCGCATTCATCTTCAGCCATTTCACGATGCATGTAGCATGAAAGTGATGGTTGCAGAGAAGTGAAAGAAGTTCCACTCCATCTTCATATGGGGAGAGACATATACAGCAGTCCTACAAAAGAAACAGAGATAACAGCCGAATCGTAATTAGTTCCATTTTCATATGCAGCTGAGTCAACAATGAAAAATAGAATCCGAAAAAAGTTGATGCAAAAAAATCAATGAAAATAGAGCCAGTTGGAAAGAAGTAAGGATGACACAATGACAGTTTGTTTTGGAACCATGCAAACAAACCTATTTATAAGATCCTTAAAATACTATAGGGATTTGGATCTATTACATTGTATATATAGACTAAGAATCATATGGAACTGCTTAGAAGTTAGAAACCGTGAAAACCGGTTTCATATATTGTTTCATAGATGAAACAACACATGTGAAAACCAAATCCGTGAAAACCAAATCCGTGAAAACCAAAACCATCCAATGAGTTTGATTTAACGTTATGATTCATATTGTTTCACATGTTTTGTTCCGAGTATGAGTGTGTATTAACGTATTTTTGTGTTTCTTTCACAAGCAAAACATTCTTTGATGTTTCATCTATAGATATACGTGCACACACATATATACATATATTCAAACAAGAATCACAAAAAGGTTGAGAACCGGTGAATCATGTGGTGTTTCACAATAGAAACAAAAAATTCACATTGTGAAACGAATAAAATGTGAAATAAATACATTGCGAAGCAATATATCAAAACCTAGCCTTAGATTGAATATTCATGGAGAACAATATTTTTTTATTGGCTCTCACGGGTTTGTAACCTTTTTGTTGTTCTCATTATATTATTCCCATGTATATATATAGTGGAAGGATCAAATAAGAAGGCTAAATATCATGAGAAGTTAAGAAGGAAAGGTTCATATACATAGATTACTCTCACGTGGAAATTACATATACATACAGCAGGATCAGGTTATAACCATCCTCACTTAGCTTTTCTCCTCTGGGTTCTCATGGTATCGGCTAGGATGGTCAGAACATCATTCACGTGTGTGTATATACATACATATATACATGAGTATGTGTGTATGTACATAGAACAAACTGAGATTCAACTTTTAAGTTTCAGGAACATCCATGACATGGAATTTTGTGATGATCAATTACAACATCTCATCTTTCTCTTTCTCTCTCTCTATAGTTTTATGTTTCAGAGGCCATTTTGTAGTCTTCGATCATTTTAATTAACTATACCCTAAACAATTTGGCAAACCAAGAGCCCTTACGTCCACCCAAACTTCTCAAACCACTCTAGTGTCGCATGGTCCTACAGCCTATCCGACTTCTGTTCCCGTAATGCTATTAGCAAATAGATCTAACTTAAGTACTCAAGTAAAATCCACAAAAACATCTAAATCCACCAAAGGGTCATTGGCCCAGCGGTACCCTTGTTACTGTCTACCGGTAGAGCCCAGCTTCCCAGGAGTGTGCATGAATATTTGCCATATATAAATATAATATACTTCAAAAAAATCTTCCAAAAGTAGTTTACAGCTTGAACAGATAGTAAGCAATAATTTCAACCATAGACAATAGACTTACTGCATCCTCAGCTAGAAGAACACGTCCAACAGAAAAGTCCCGACCATTTGTTTCAATAGGAATCATTCTACCTGCTCCAACATCAGATTGCTCCTCATCACTGAAAGCTTCAAATCTGTACTTGGGAAGGACACTGATGTCCGTCTCCGATGCACCTTCCTGTGTATTAGCATAGTTATCAAAATCATTGGTACATGAAATTAAATGATAAAGCGTAAAAAACACTTTTCATCTATTTTACCCGGCCAGCAATGATACACAGGATGGCAATGATGCAGGGGAAGCAAAAACAAACAGCAAGCCCTAGTAAACATGCCAGAACAAAAGCAATGAAAGCAAAGAACACGTCGATGGCCAAAAATGCCAAAGCCAACCTGCCATTATTTAAAAACAAAGTAAGAAAAGAACGAAAGAAAATTGAAAACACCCAAAGGTTTCTGTTAAGAGTTAATGGTTAGATGCTCTATCTATAAAGGCCAACTTAGACGATCGACAAATTATGGGTACTATCAGCTTAAAGTAAGAATTGTATAATCCAATATGGAAATAAATCCTGCTCCATGGAACTTCTGCTGGTCTGAATAAATAAGGCATCTACATGATGCATGTGGGATTGAGATCCGCTCATGAGGGAAACAACACTGAGTTAACTAAGGTACCATCTCATGATTGCCAAATGAGTGGAGCTCAACCAACTCAACATCCAAACAGTGAGCGTAGCTCATACAAGAGCATAAATTTATAGACTCGAGCAACCTCATTTACTTGACCATTGTGCATTGTTGTAGCATCAACGATGTTTTTGTTCTACTTTTTTTTGTCCCTTTCATATGCTTATCAAAATGACAAAGTTAAAACTGAGATTATGTTACTTCAACAAATAGAAACTAGAACTTACTAGGTCAAGGCACAGACCACCGCGAATAGCATAGCGAAATACAGGTTTGGCGTCTCACTGTATGCAGTGGCCTGGTCGGAAAAAAGCCAATCCCCATGTGCGCCATTGTGGGATATCACACATGCCAACGACGTGGCACAATTCTTTTGGTCTCACACTTGGCAAACAGAAAGGGGGATGAAGAGAAGAGGGATGGGAAGGTTGAAAAGGAATGTGAAACGGTGAGTGAGAGACAACCACATACCTGGAACCTGGTACAAAATCTCAGGCCAGCCTTGTAAAAAAAATCTCACCTTCCCACAAATTGATCTTTGGTGGATATTTCATCTTTAGAGTTGCATAGAAGAAAAAAGGGTCAATGACCTAGTGGCATCCAGGTTACCGGTATATCCCAGCCTCCTTGAAGGTCAAGGTTCAAGCCTCACCAAAGGTGAGGATTGTGCGAATTTTGCCATATATAATATATTATATACTTCCAAAAAAAACTTTATGTAGTTAAGAATATTTAATTGACATAAAACCCTGGTAAACTTTTGGAATAAAAGACATCTTTGTTCCCTCATTCTTAAAATTAACAATAATTTCAGTGAATGCCCCATGAACCTCATATAGTGAGACATAAATCACCCCTTGTTCTATTTTCACACTAACTCTTCTTCTTACAGCATTACCCCTACATGATCTCTCTAGTTATATATAAACTCTTAATAGATAACAAATGGCCCCTTCAAGTTCACTATTGGTACTTTGTTTCATTGTAAATAAATTATGCTTCAGGATATACACATGCATTCCTGGTCTGTGACCACTATATGGTGGTTATCAAATCTTGGACAATCACTATCTAGAATGAATGTGATGTAATTCAATGTGCTTTGTTTTAATGTTATGCATGTTTGGGTTACCTTTTTGGAGTACAATAAGGGTGTGTGCCATGCATCATGGTTCTACTTTGGGTTTGGCGCCATGCGTTCGCCCTATATCATAACTAACTTACTAGAGAGTTACACCTCTTCTTTTGCAAGGTGATCTCATTTGACACATATTTGTAATTGCTAAAACTGTACAAGAATCTTCCTTAAGCTTTTTGTTCAAGACACCTTTGTTTCTATAATGCATTAGCTGACAATAGGAAAATATTTCTAGCTTGGTAGCTCACACCATGTAACAGCAGTTATTGTATGTTTTCAAATAATTTTGAAAACATAAGTTAAATCATCAGTCATCACTGTTGTCAAAGATAATGTTCCAAAACATTTGTTTCAACCTGAAAGAGACGAAAGAACTAAAGCAGAAAAAACTTGTAGATGGAGAAGGGAGAAGCTGGATCAGGTTCAACATGGATGTAAGAACAATCTTCCCTCTCAAGCCACCTTATTTATATTATACATTTATAATGCAAAGCCAACACCAGGATTGTTCCATTATTATTCACTCATTCATTCATATGTATAAGTAGTCAACTACAGAGATCATCAACCATTCTTTTAAAAAAAAGCTTCTTAAATCAGATATATGATTTTACAGGCTTGAAAAAGCCAAGAAATAAATAGCTCAAAGCATGCATCATTCTAAATTGTTTCCCAGACTATTTATTAAAGGTCAAAACTTGTATTGGTTCAAGACATACCAGAATAGGCGTGGAGCACTATGCAGAAGAATCTTGAAATCAGAGAGCAGCCAACAGAAGCCAACTACCCACCACATATAGGAGATCGTGGTATTAATGTTTTCCCATCTTAGAGCATCACTGAAATTTCCAAAAAATAAGTTACCAGTGAAAGGATGCATTACTACTGCAATACAAAAGGAACCATTTGATAAGATGTACCTCCCTACATCCCACAAGAACCACAACATTTTCAGTTCTGATATTTCAATGTCCCACAGGAATTGCAAGATTTCTTTTTCATTCGAATATGTTCTCGAGTTACATTAGTACTTAGCCACCATGTTATTATCATAACAATATAATAATCTGACTTGATGCACAAAATAACTTTTGTCTCAGTGCAGATGATATTTTACAAGGGTATTTTAGGCATTTAATCATGATCAACTGTTCCTAAATTTTTTGTTATGGCGTCAAATGTTGTATTTCTGTGGGATAGAGGGAATATTGCGAAAAACATCAAGTATGAAAATTGATTCAAAATCAGAGCAATGGCACTTCACAGACATTTATCTTGCTACACGAGGCTAACACACAGATAGCTAAACTATAAAGAAAACCATTACGAATTTGCTTTTTCCCCAAATCCTACCATGGATCCAAAGACCACTCAAGATGTTATTTTCCTTTCTGAAAGCTCCCCCGTCAGAATCTTTTTATATGTTCGATCTGAAATTGTGATGTCATAAAAGCATGACGTCTGAAAGCATATACTTAAGATCCCATTTAGGATTGCTAAAAGTCCAACATGCTTACAAGCACTCGAGGCATTACATATACAATACTTTAGCAGTTTAAAGTATTTTATTCTTACCGCAAACATGTGCCTGATATCAAGTTATTATTCTTATGAAGCATGTGTACCTTATGTGATCACATATGTATCATATCCAATAGAAGTTACCTTTCCAAATATTCCATAAACAACAAGTAACAATTAGCTTACTAGATTTGAGCTCAACAAACTTGTTAATGGAACTTGTAATAGACTCGATAAAGCCCACATGCTTCTACATGCATCGTGTTTGATTATATAAACATGACTTGAGTTCTTTTAGCCACATGATTGAACTTAATCCTCATCCTTCCCGTCATAGATCAGCATGAACATTAATCAATTTTACACCTACTGTCTACATTTTAGCAAAGGATTTCTCAGACCTACTGCATATCACACGGGCTCAGAGATCAACTTTGTAGTTGTGGAGAATTTATTCACATTACTAATATAATTGACTGGTATAATAAACCACGTTTATTTTCCTTACTCAAGTTTCTAAAAGTGTCCAACTTAGACTAAAATTATTCTTTGCAACTTCTAAGTAGTATGTATAAAATCATCCATGGATGTGGTTAGATCTTGATCATTGACCCATTCTCCATTACAGACCATTCTTGATACCAAAACAAAAATTGATGGGAATCTACTAATCTACTCTTCCATCATTCAAACACTGTAACTTTGATCCTCCTAGTCAATTTGTAAGCCTAGGCTTCTGATACTTGGCATGCAATCTATACCGTGAATAAAAAGTATTTACAGCACGCCTTTGAACATGCAAACAGATTCAAGCTTCTGATAGACATCTCAAAAGATTACAGTTAACTACAGCAGGCATATGGCAACTTCTAAATGTTAAAACCTGTAAATCGAAAGATATTCCTAAACTTCAGCTATGTATATAATGGAATGCAATATAAAGTCATCAAGTTCAAACTAAAAGTCCAATTCGGAATTAAAACTCGCCCGATCATAGTGTAATTCTCCAAATCCACATCGCTTCCATCACTATCCTCACTGTGCCCAAAGCAAAAACAGTCAGCCGTCGTCTGGTCTCCCGCTACTCCCCGATTCCTCCGCCGATACTCCAACCACACCAGCACTATGTGTATCGCACACTGCAACGAGTAGACGCAGATCCACAACCTAAGCGGCACATTTGGCTTTTCCCGCGCAGTCCAGAACAACATAACCACCGAAACCACCACGAACACAAAGTTCCACGTCATGTCTAAAACAACAACTGGCAACGAGTAGCCCCAATCTGCTCGCCAGTCCTCCAACTGTCGTGCCGCAGTCTGGCGCACTAGCATCGACGCTCCACGCCGCCCAGCGAAAAGACCTAAAAGCAAGGAGAGCATCGTCGTGGTTCTATCTCCTCCTGCAGAAGGCGAGTCTCTGGTGTCCTGCCGTGAGGTAAGTAACGGCACGGTGGTGATCTCCCTCGCCGTGTTTGCCATCTCCGCCATTTGCAATCCCGAAAGAGATCCCTACTAGTAGTAGTAATAGCAGCAGCAGCAGCAGCAGCAATAGTTTGCTGTGAGAGATTTTGCAAGATGATTGATTACTACTTCTGGTAGATTCGAGGGTTGTTGCCCCCTTCTCCTGCGTTCTGAATTTGTTCAAAAAATGACCCGTTTGCCATTTGGCGTTTATTTCCCGGACAAAAAAAATGGATTTACGCACCGCAACTGGTAGTTGAATAAGGGTGATTAAGGTTTACGATATGGTATAAAATGAAATGTAAGTATTTAGTAATTATTTATAATGAAATTAAAGTATTGAACGGTTAAGAGAGGTACAAGATACAAAATTATTCAAGGGGTTTTAGAATCATTAAGAGACAAACTTTTTTTTATCAAACATCTTAACAATTCAGATGATGCCTCTTAATAGAACTATTAAGAGGTAAACAAACAATCACTTACCCTCCCTATAATTCAATAATTTGTAATAAAAAAACTCCCGAATATTTTTTTTCGTCACAAATTGATCCTTGTTTTTTAGGATGTATTATGTACCAAAGCTATCATTTATAGTAGAGGGCTTGGGAGAGCGGCGGACCTATGTGTGCTCAAAAACCCGATCAACCCAATCCAATCTAACGCGAAATAATTCAATCCGAAGCAACCCGATGTCTAAACGAGTTGTAAAATTTTCAAACCGTATGTATTAAGTTGATATTGGGTTATTATTATTTGAACTCAACTCAACCCGATGAACCCAATATCATTTCATTTCTTGGATATAATATGATTGTTGAGTTTATATTAATATATGCATTAGACAATTACATTATCACGTACGCTCTTCATATATACATATTTTCAATATATTCTCCATCTTTATAACTCATTCGTATATATGTTCAGTAACTATGAACATATATATGTAAATTGAGAAAACTAATTAAATGTGATATATGTAAGAAGTATTGATAAGTTGTATCAAATGGTTGATGATGAAAAGGAAATTAAGAGTGAGAAATAACATATTCAATGATAAAGAATATTTTAATGTATCAAAGTATCAACTCGACCAACCCGACTAACCCAATCAACCAGTACGGTTTGGGTTGGGTTGAGTTGGGTTAAGATTTTTCAAACCGTAAATATTGGGTTGGGTTGTTCAAATATCTTCAATATGATCAACTCAACCCATGAGCACCCCTAGGTGGACCCATGCAAAAGTAGATCAAAAGCTTGCAAAGTCGTCTTATATGTTATTGGTTGATTCTATAATTTCGAATGATCTTTTTGTTTTTTTTTTTGTCGATTTCGATATATTTTATTGGATTTTTTGGTTGATTTTCAGGACTTTTTCAGTTTTTTTTGTTGATATTTCTTGTATTTTCTAATATTTTAGAGCGTCCCTTAAAATTCAGTGGGTGCATATTTCATACCCCATAATAATTCTACTTACAAAAATATAAGTTGAGTTGGTGCACGAGACCCTATTTGAGGCTTCATATGTGGGCCCTCCTCGGGAGGTCCACATGGGTTCACAATGCAAGATCTAAATGTATTATAGAATTACTAGAAAAGTATTCGCGCAATGCAGCGAAACACATCTCGATTTTAATGTTCTATTTTATTATTTGTCTTTGTCGATGTTATAATACGATTTTATATGTTTTTAAGAAAACAATATTGATTTTATTTTTGAATAAAATATAAATTTGAAGATATCATAAAAATTTTAAAAATATATATATCAATGTTAATATCAAATCAACTATTTAAAAGTTCTAATTTTTTATCCACTTTTTATAATTTATTTTCTATTATAATTTAAT